AAAAAATACATGAACTAGACTTGAAAAAAATTTTAAACTTTTATGTACCGAAGGAAATTATAAATGTAAATATATAGTCCACAGACTGGGAGAAAATATATGCAAGTCACATATCTGGTAAGGGTGTAATATGTACAATATATGAAGAAATCTATACAACTCTATTAAAAGACAACTCAGTTAAAAGACAATCTATATCAAATTTAGGCAAAGGATCTAAACAGACATTTCTCCAAAGATGTACAAATGTCCAACAAACACATAAAAAGATATTCAACATTATTAGTCATTAAAAATGCTAATCAAAACCACAGTGAGGTACAACTTGACACCCATTAGGAAGGCTACAATAAAAAAAAGAAAAAAAATGTCAGTCAGTGAGGACATGTGAAAAGTAGAACATCTGGATATTGCTGGGTGGAATGTAAAATTGCTTAGTGCTATGGAAAATTGCTTGGTGATTCCTCAGAAAGTTAAACATAAAATTATCATGTAACCCAGAAATTCCATTCCAAGGTATAGCCCTAAAAACTGAAAATATGTACTCAAATACATGTAAATACAGACTCACTGTAGAATTGATCACAAAAGCTAAAAGGTGAAAACAATGCAAATGTACATCAACAGATTAACTGTTAAAACAAATTGTGACATGTATGGGTTATATGATATTAGTCGAAAAATAGTGAAGTACTGATATATTCTACAAGGTGGATGAACCTCAAAAATGTTACACTATGTGAAAGAAATCAAACACAAAAGATCACATATTATTTGATTATATAGAATAGGTAAATCCATTGAGAAAGAATACCAGTTGGTGATTGTCAGGGGCTGGGAGGAGGATGAAATGGGAAGTGATTACTTAAAGAATTCACTGTCTTCTTTTGGGATGATGAAATGATTTTGGAACTAGACAGAGGTGATGGTTGGTGGCTGCACCACATTGTGAACGTTCTCTAAATGTCACTGAATTTTTCATTTAAAACGGTTAAGTTCCCCTTATGTGAGTTTCATCTCAACTAACAAAAAACACACATATATGAGATTCTTCACAACCATTAGGGACAGTTATAAAACAAATTTAGGGGAAGATGGCTGGCACAACAGTTGGGTCAATTCTGCGAACACCTATACTCCATGTCACAGAGCCTGGTTAAAGTTCCAGCTCTGCTTCCAATCCAGCTTCCTGCTGGTACACACCCTGGGAAGCAGCAGACAATGGCTCAGGTAGTTGATTGCCTGCAGTCCACATGGGAAACCTGGATTGAGTTCCAGGCTCTTGGCTTTGGCCTGGGCCAACCCTGGCTGTTGCAAGCCATTTAGGGAGAAAAACAGCACATGCAAAGGATCTCAATCAATCTTAATCTCAATGTCTCTCTCCCTACCCCCTTTGAAATAAAATTAAAATAAACAAAATTTGTTTAAATGTGCTCAATAACAAGGTTGGTAAGGATATGGAGATACTGGAATTCTCACACATAACTGGAGGGATTATAAAATGGGGTAGCGACTTTGGAAAAACTTTTATGCTTTTAAAATGACTATAGAATTATATGACTATGACTACAGAGTTACTATATAACCCAGTATTTCCTCTATTAAAATATACCTACGGCAATAAAAAAGGCTCACAAAAAATTACATGCAAATATTCACAGCATATTAACAGCAAAAATAGAAATCACCTAAATGTCCATCAACTGACAAATAAAGTACTAAAACAACTGGACATCCAATTGAAAATAAAATGTGCTAGAACTACACCTTGTATGATACACGAAAATTAACTTAAAATAGAACATAGACCTAATGTAAAACCTAAACTTACAAGTCTTCTAGAGGACAACATGGGAGCAAAATCTTGGTAATATTAGGTTGGGCAAAAATGTCTTAAATATGATATAAAAAGATCTGTAAGTTTTAAATTGGTAATTAGGATTCATGAAAATTTAAAAGTTTTATTCATCAAAAGTAAATGAAGACAAACCATACAATAGAAAAAAATACTTAAAAAACACAGCTGACAAAAGATTTGTATAGAAACAAATAGGATATTTTACTTATCATGAAAAAATATTTTAAAATCTGAAAGCTCAGTAAGACAACTAATATAAAAAATGGTTTGAGGAGACATTTCTATTTGCATTGGCAAATAAGCATATGAAAAGATACTCAATATTACTAATTAGAAAACATAAAATATAACTACAATGACAGACCTCTACAGACAAATTAGAATGGCTGAAACTGAGGGAACTGAACGTGCTGATGAGAATGTGGAGAACTTGGAATTCCTAAGTTACTGGAAAGAACGTGAGAATGTGTACTTCCTTTGGAAAATAGCTGAGTTTTTGATCTTCTGTGTATAAAGAGAACTGAAAATGAATCTTGATGTGAATGGAAGGGGAGAGGGAGCGGGAAAGGGGAGGGTTGCGGGTGGGAGGGAAGTTATGGGGGGGAAGCCACTGTAATCCATAAGCTGTACTTTGGAAATTTATATTCATTAAAGTTAAAAAACAACAACAACAAACAAAAAAAGAAAATAGCTGAGTTTTACTATAAATTAAACACATATGTACCACAGGATCCAAAAATCTAACTCTTGATATTTACCAAGAGAAAAGTATATATGCATGTTTGATTATTACAGAGTCTTTATTCATAAATGTCAAAATTTGGAAATAACCCAAATGCCCTTCAAATGGAGACTGGATATGGACACTGTGATATTTCTATACAGTGGAGCACAAACTACTAATACATACAACAATATGACTAAATTTCAAATGTGCTGTGGGTGTTGTGGCATAGTGGGTAAAGCTGCGACCTGTAACACCAGCATCCCCTTAGAGTGTCTATTCATATCCCAGCTGTCCTACTTCCTATCTAGGTCCCTGCCAATGGTCTGGGAAAAGTAGTGGAAGATGGCCCAAGTGTTTGGGTCTCTGCCACCCATATGGGAGATTTGGAAGAAGCTCCTGTGTCCTGGCTTCAGCCTGACTCAGCACTGGCCATTGCAGCCATCTGAGGAATATCAGATGGAAGCTCTCTCTGTAATTCTGACTTTCAAATAAATAAATCTTTTAAAAAAAGTCCTAGCAAAATGAATGAAGTTAGATTTAAAATGCTATATGCTGTGTGTTTCCACTTGTATGACATTCTAGAAAAGATATAATTGCAGGAATAGGAAAAACAGATCAGTGGTTGCCAGATGGTGGAGGAGGAAGGAGTTGAATACAAAATGGCACAAGAAAATTTTCTAGGATCACAGAAATGCTCCATATTCTGATTGTGATGATACTTATGTGATAGTATATATTTGTCAAAACTCATAATTGTACAATAAAAAGGATAATTTTCACTGTACGTAAGTTAAAATAACCTTAACTTTTAAAAATAGCTTTATAAGAAAACACATTTAAAAAACCAATTTAGACCAAAATTGGGACTCTGTACAAGGATTATTATTTGGATTAATAGAACTTTTCTAAAGAGCAAGTATATTTTAGTTCCATGAACTTAACTTACATTTGGCCAACATTAAGACAAATGAAACCAGGCAAGCAAAATAATGATGCTATATTTTTATCCTAGACTTATTCACAGCAGTTACCTTATCCATGTAATACTCGTTAACCTTTAAGGAATTTTTTTATTTGTATAAGGTGAACAAATTTCATGTATTGTATATACACAGGGGCATAGTGATAGTTCTCACCCTATTCTCCCTGCTGTCCACACTCCCCACCCTCCCTCCTCCTTCCTTTCTTATTTTTTCTTCATTTTTACAATGACATACTTTCAGCTTATTTTATAATCATAAGCTTAACCTCCACTAAGTAAAGAAGTAAACAATCAGTAAGAAGGAAAAAAAAAACACTGTTCCTCAAAAGTCAACACAAGGGCTATAAAGAATAATCAATTTTCAAAATGTCAATTTCACTCATATACATTTTTTGTACTCTATTAGTTACTACAGATTAGCAAAAACATATGATATTTTTCTTTTGGGGACTGGCTGATTTCACTGAACATAATGTTTTCCAGTTGCATCCATCTTGTTGTAAAAGACAGGATTTCATTTTAATACAACAACTTTGATAGTAGCCACCAATTTGCCCAACTTTCAAAGCATATCTGAGGCCAACTTGGCATCAGCAAAGTCTTTGCCACAGGAAGTGGGCTTCTGACAAGGATTTTTAGGGTGGACTATTTTCATATCACTACATATGAATGACTAAACAGAGGAGGCACCTGCCAGCTTGATAACAACTGTATTTGAGTTTGCACTCAAAATTTAGCTTTTTTCCTTCCCATTCTTAAAATTTCATTCATATATATATATAGTATCTGTATTACCAAGAACAAGCCAAGAAGTAAACAATGAGGCTTGATGACTCTATTCCACAACAACTGCTGCTGGATTTCTGGTCTGGGACAGGCTAAGACTCCTTGTGCTCCAGATATGTTCTCTAGATGACAGTGATACATAATCTAATCTCATGAAATTTTGAGACAGTAACAGTAGTGTTATAAAGATTGGCTTTTTTTTTTAAATAAGAATTTGCTTATTTCTCTGGATATTCTACTTTTTCAGAACCCAGAAAAGGTTACCTCGAAAATAAAGTGCCGGTGCTAATAGGTACTTTGGAAGCCTAAGCAGGCTTAGAAAAAATAAAAACCAGCATTGTCAGAAGCATCCTTTTGCTTCTCAAAGGCCCTTTAGCTCATTCTCAGGGGACTTCCTGGCTAAAATGCTTAGTAAACACTAGGGCCAGGGCAGAGATGACTCATTGGCAAATCCCATAGGCTCAACAAGCAACACCCCCAGCCCCCTTTCTCAGATGCTCTGAACAGCATTGGCTTTGTGGATCCTTTTCCCCTCACATCTTCATATTCATCAAAATTACCCACCTCCTCACTAAGGTAAGTTCCTACAGTAGGCAGCAATACAGAAAGAAACAAATACAGTGGCAAATCAACAAAATGTGGAATACCTTGTTTTTAGCTAATTCCTTTTCCATATTGGATTTCTCTTGTTTTGTTTCTTTTTCTGTTTTATTAACCTGCCCAAGGAGGGGAAAAAAAGCAAATGGGTCAATTTTACTGCAGCTGACAGTACAACCACACATCCTGCAAGTCAATGAATACCTACACTGCAGACAGCACATCCTCTCAGAAAAGGGGCCAGTGAGGGAATCTTGGAGGCAGAGCAGACTTCACAAATAGCTCTGAAATTAGAAAGACGTCTGCACGTCAGACTCTGCTGGTCCCTTCCTAATTAGGAGATAGGGCTGTTCTCCTTTAACCTCTGTCCCACTCCTCCAAGGGAAGTAATTTTTTAAAATCTGACCCCTTAACTAACAAGAGGATGTAAGAATTATTCTTTGACATTCATTAATGCTCTGTTAGGGTAAACTGTACTGTCTGGCACAGATCACCTCACATGCTAAAAGGCACAGATAAAGCCACTTAGAGATTTAATAAACAACTCAGGAAAACCACATCTGGGTTTTACTTCTGTTTTTGTCTTTTGAACTGAAGAGTACAGTTTTTTTTTTTAAAGATTTATTTTATTTATTTGAAAGACAGAGTTACAGAGAGGTAGAGACAGAGAGAGAGGTCCTCCATCCGCTGGTTCACTCCCCAGATGGCTGCAATGGCCAGAGCTGTGCAGATCCAAAGCCAGGATCCAGGAGCTTCCTCTGGATTCCCGATGTGGGTGCAGGGGCCCAAGGACCCGGGCCATCCTAAACTACTTTCCAAGCCCACAGCAGAGAGCTGGATCAGAAGTGGAGCAGCCGGGCCTCGAACCAGCACCCATATGAGATGCCGGCGCCCCAGTCCAGGGCGTTAACCCGATGCGCTGCAGCTCAGGCCCCAAGAGTACAATTTTAAAGCAACATCATCACACCAGAACTAGGGGATAGTATAAATCTATTTCTACCTACCTCTCTCTGAAATCTTTCTTTCTCTTCTAGCAGAGACTTTTTTTCTTGTATGGATACTTCCAATTCACCTTGCAACCTTGCAATGGTTGATTCCAGAAGCTCTTTTTGCAAAGCTGTCCTATTCTCTGCATCCCGTGCTTTCTGTATACACTGGTTATGCTCAAGGATCAAATGGTCCCTGCAGGTAGAAAAGAAGAAGACAGGAGAGCTAAACAAGATTTTTACTGTAACAAAGAATGGTAAACATTCTTACAGCACATACCTTTTACATGAGAGCAGATACCAGAGTTTTCTAACAAAACTAGTTCCTTGAGGGCAGAGTCTTTATTTTACTTTTGTGGTCAGCCCAGCAAATGTGGACTTAAACATTTTCTTTAAAGATAAAAAATACAAATGAAAGAAGAAGAAAATACACTTAAGAAGTTGCTCATTATTTACTTACAGATGTTCTTGGAGTTGGGTTTTCTCATTCTCTACAGTCTGTAGTTCATTGGTGATAGTCGCATGCGCTGCATCCAGTATTAGATTTTGTTCTTGAAATGTCTGCGTCATCATTTTCTGCCCTACCTGAATGTTAGGAGTAACATTAAGAGCTTGAGATGACAGAAAGTTATTTCAAAATGTGACAGGGTAACTGATCAAAGACACTAAATTAATTTACAAAACACAAGTTTTACATACATAAAGAATACTTCTTTTTACAAATAATTTGTTTTAATGGCCAGCTTTCCCTTTGTCCTACCCAGGATGCATTATTTACCCAGTATGCTAGAGTATTTGTGAAACTTCAAACACAAACAAACTTTTAAGGACAAAATACATTAAGAATGCTTTGGTATTTTTAAATTTTAGTATGGCATTTTAAAGTAAAATATAAATGTAAAGAGAAAAGTTCTCTTCATCTCAATCTCTCCCTTCAAAAAAATAATGTTTAATAGTTTGATGTGAACTCTTTTAAGAATATCTTAAATTGTATTCAGATACTATCACTGCTTTGCAAAATTTATTTACTCTGGCTCCCAGTTTTGGAATTAAAATAACATTAAATTTTTTTTTTCTAAGATTTATTTATCTGAAAGCCAAAATGACAAAGGGAGAGATAGGTATCTTCTATCTGTTGACTCATTCCCCAAGGAACTGCAACAGCCAGGGCTGGATCAGGCTGAAGCCAGGAGCCTAGAACTCAGTCTTCCAAGTGCATGCAGGGACCCAAGTACTTGGGCCATCACCTGCTGCCTTACCAGTTGCATCTGCAGGAAGTTGGATCACTAGTCAAGACTTGCAATGAACTGCCGTCCAGTATGGATGCAGGTATCCCAAGCAGCAGCTTATCCTGCTGTACCACAACACATGTCCCCAAATGTAACATTTTAATACCTATTCCCCTAACTATAATTCCAAACATAACATTTTAATACATATTTCTAACTATAATTCAGAAAGATTTTACAAACAGAGTAAATATGAACAATTACTTTAGTAACATATTCAAACACTTCTGTTTTAACAATATTTGCAAACTTTTACAACTCAGTTGGTAAAATGTATTACGTATCAAAATTTTGAAATGTTTGAAACAGTGTTACATGTTATATTATTCAATCCACTAAATTATAAAACTATGAAAGCAGGGATTTTTGTCTTTTCACTGCTATAAATTCTTTTTTTTCTTTAAGATTTATTTATTTACTTGAAAGTCAGAGTTATACAGAGAGAAAGAGAGGGAAAGAGGGAGAGAGAAAGGTCTTCCATCCACTGGTTCACTCCCCAATTGGCTGCGATGGCCAGAGCTGTGCTGATCTGAAGCCAGGAGCCAGGAGCTTCTTCCAGGTCTCCCATGTGGGTGCAGCCTTGGGCCATCTTCTACTGCTTTCCTAGGCTGTAGCAGAGAGCTGGATCGGAAGTGGAGCAGCTGGGACTCGAACCAGCGCCCATGTGGGATGCCAGCATGGCAGATGGCGGCTTTACCCACTACACCACAGTGCTGGCCCCTTCACTGCTATAATTCTAACTAGATTTACCATTATACTGGCACAGAGTAAACACTAAATATTACTGAATTAATGAAAAATATTTATTGAATAATTACTATATGTAAAACATGGTTAGCAGTATGGGAAATAACAAAGATATATAATGTCCTTACTTCTAGGAAGCTCAAAATTTAACTCAGGCAATAAATCACGCACACAAATTCTCTAGTAGAGAATGTAGAATAGGGAGCCAGCATAATCTAATGATTAAAAACACTGATTCTATGGGGCCGGCGCTGTGGTATAGTAGGTTAAAGCCCTGGCCTGAAGCGCTGGCATCCCATATGGGTGCCGGTTTGAGTCCCGGTTTCTCCATTTTCTATCCAGCTCTCTGCCCCTGCACCCACGTGGGAGACCCGGAAGAAGCTCCTGGCTTCAGATTGGCGCAGCTCCAGCCATTGCGGCCATCTGGGATGTGAACCAGTGGATGGAAGACCTCTCTCTCTGTCTCTCCCTCTGTAACTCTTTGAAAAAATAAAATAAATCTGGAAAAAAAAAAAAAAAAAAACCACCACTGATTCTGGAGTCAGAGTTAGTTTTTAATCTAGTTTTCCTCCTAACTAGTTGGGTGACTTTGGGCAAGTTAATTGATTTCAATAAACCTCATTTTTCTTTAAAAAATTTATTTATTTGAAAGGCAAAGTGATGGGGGGCAGGAAGGGGAGGAGACAGAGGGAGAGATTGACTTATTATTTTCATCCATTGGTTCACTCCCCAGGGGCCACAACAGACAGGTCTGGGCCAGGCTGAAGCTAAGAGCGAAGACCTACATTCTGGTCTCCCACATGGGTGGCAGGGCCCCAAACACCTGGACCATCTACTGCTGCCTTCTCAGGCACATTACCAGGAAGCTGAATGGGAAGCAGAGCAGCAGGGACTAGAATTAGCATTTTTATATGGGATGCTAGTGTCCCAAAATAGTGGCTTACCCAGCTGTGCCACCATGCTGGCCATGGCCCCAACCTCGATTCTCTTATTTATGAAATGAGGGTATGTTATGTTAATAGCTGCTACAACTAAAACAGGTAATATATGTAAAGTTCTTAATACAGTGCTAGGTATATGCTAAAAGGAAAACACAAGAGCTATTATTATATTAGTCCGAATGGTATCTGGAGAATAAAAGATGAAAGGGAAAATTCATCCATCTTTCAGTGGAATGATCAAGCTTAGTGATAAAAATGAGTCTTACCAAATAAACAGTTCTTCAAATAGTTGAGATTAAGACATCCTCAACATACAGAATGGCTTAAGGATAATGTGATAGTGCATTATGTTTGGGGGAAAAGGTAAGTATTTTGGGATTCATCATAAATGTTCTTCATAATTCTATCAATATTTTATTTTTCTGAAGTAATTTCATTTGAGAAGAAACCTTTAAAAAGCATTAAATGTAAGACCAAATCACTCCTCTGATGAAAACTGAAAGCCATTCATCAAAATTTAAATAATCTAATAAACTTTTTGAAATTGATTGCTAAAATAGTCTTTTTAACCAACAGAAGTTTACTAGCACAAGGAGCTGGTGCTGTGTTGCAGCAGGGGTTAAGCCGCTGCTTGTGACACCTTCATTGCATACTGGAGTCCAGTTCAAGTCCTGGCTGTTCCAATGCCAATCCAGTTTCCTGCTAACGGTCCTGGGAAGACAGCAGAACATAGTCTAACTACTTGGGCTACTGCTACTCATGTGGGAGACCAGGATGGAGTTCCCGGTTCCTGGTCCAGATCTGGCTGTTACGGCCATTTGGAGAGTAAAGTAGCAAATGGAAGAGCTCTTAGTATATCCCTGCCCTCTTTCTTTGGCTCTGCCTTTCAAATAAATAGACAAACATATAGTTAGATAATAGGTCAATCTTTAAAGATTGCTAGTGTTAGATGCATACCTGCAGAATGGCTTGATGGTCAGCGATGATTCTGGCATTTTCCATACTAACAGTCTGAAGCATGTTGTTCAGCTCTGAACATTTTCTAGTCAATTGGTCATTCAAAACCTAAGACAATGTACAGAGCAGATCACAGGTCTCTCCAGTACAAAACTTTGACTTATGTATCATTATTTTTAATGATATTTTAATTATTTGCAATCTCACTATACATATATAAGTCTAATTTATTTAACCTGTCTCTAATGGATAACTCATTAATTTATACTAATGGATAACTCATTAATTTATAAAAACTTTCAAATATTTAGTTAATACCTAAACAATTCTAAATTATTTAGAGAAAGTTTTAGATTTGGTGAAGCAACTGAGCCATTTGTTGTTTTACTGATTTCTTCCTTACAGTTTTGTCAGAATAAGATATCAGCAGAATGCAGTTTATAATACAGGTGCTAAGCCAATATTATAGAAATCCATTCCCATAATTAGATGATGAAATTTCAAAACTATTTAGATGGTAATACAAAATATCTAAGACTCTTTACCAATAACTATAGTATTCATAAAAGCAAAAAATAGGTGAATTTTTCCATCAAAAACTAGTCTTTCAGAATAAACAAAATCTTTAGTGCTACAGAACTATGATACATGTAGTCAGTTAATAATTTTCTTGTCTCTGATATTTTGAAGCTTGCATTGTAAAAAATATTTATCTCAGTTATTTTTGCAAGATAGGTTTGGCAAGTATCTTACGTTTTAATGAACAAGCTCTCCAAGGACAAACAACTCTGAAGGAGCAATAGGATAAGAACACAAAACAACACAGGAAAATAGATGAAGGAGTAAGTTTCCTAAGTAATATGTATAGTATACAACAGTTAAGAAGACATTCAGGGGCATGTGAAATCCTAACCAGATGTACAAATTATTCAAGAAATACATGGAAGAAAGAGGAGACACCTTGCCCCCATAAAAACAAAATACTAATTCTTTTAAAGGCTAATTCTTGAGCTTAAACTCCACCTCTATTACTTCACTGTGGTATTAAAGGCAACTTCCTTGCCTTTAACATGTGAATAGTGAATAACTACTTCTACTTCACAGTGTTATTGTGAGAATTACAATTTGTTAGTAATGTAAGTGTTCAAAATTGTGCCTGGAATGTGGGATGTGTTCATTAAAATTCTTTCTTTTAATTTTTTTAAAACTTTTATTTAATAAATATAAATTTCCAAAGTGCAACTTCTGGATTATAGTGGCTTTCCACACCCCATAACCTTCCTCCCACTCGTAACCATCCCATCTCCTGCTCCCTCTCCCATTCCATTCTTCATCAAGATTCATTTTCAATTATCTTTGTATACAGAAGATCAATTTAATATATACTAAGTAAAGATTTCAACAGTTTGCACCCACAAAGACACATAAAGTATAGAGTACTGTTTGGGTAGTAGTTTAACTGTTAATTTGCATAGTACAATACATTAAGGACAGAGGTCCTACCTGGGGAGCAGATGCACAGTGAATCCCCCGTTGTTGATTTAACAATTGACACTCTTATTTATGATGTCAGTAATCACCGAGGCTCTTGTCATGAGATGCCAAGGCTATGGAAGCCTCTTGAGTTCACCAACTCTGATCTTGTTTAGACAAGATCATATTCAAAGTGGAAGTTCTTTCTCTTCCCTTCATAGAAAGGTACCTCCTTCTTTGATGCCCTGATCTTCCTGCTGGGATCTCACTCAGAGATCTTTCATTTAGATCATTTTTTTTTTTTTTTAGCCAGTGTCTTGGCTTTCCACGCCTGAGAAACTCTCAAGGGCTTTTTAGCCAGCTCTGAATGCCTCAAGGGCTGATTCTGAGGCCAGAGCATTATTTAGGGCATTTGACATTCTATGAGTCTGCTTGTATCCTGCTTTCCATGTAGGATCAATCACTCCTTTTTTAATTCTATCAATTATTATTTGCAGACACTGGTTTTATTTATGTAATCCCTCTGACACTTAATCCTATCTTTTTGATCAGTTATGAACGTAAACTGATCACTTTAACAAGTAAAATGGCATTGGTACATGCCACTTTGATGGGACTGAATTGGAATCCCCTGGCACATTTCTAACTCTGCCATTAGGGGTAAGTCCAAGTGAGCATGTGCCGAACTGTACATCTCTTCCCTCTCTTATTCCCATTCATATTTAATGGGGATCACTTTTCAGTTAAATTTAAATGCCTAAGAATAACTGTGAGTTCAACCAATGAGTTCAACCAATGACATTAAGTAGAACAACAACAAAAAACACTAAAAGGAATAAAATAGTAAGTTGCTCCTCGACAGTCAGGACAAGGGCTGGTCCAGTCATTGTTTCTCATAGTGTCCATTTCACTTCAACAGGTTTCCTTTTAGGTGCTTGGTTAGTTGTCACTGATCACGGAGAACATATGATATTTGTCCCTTTGGGACTGGCTTATTTCACTCAGCATGATGTTTTTCTGCATTGATTTTGTATCTTGCTACTTTGCCAAACTCTTCTCTGAGTTCCAATAGTCTCTTAGTAGAGTTCTTTGGATCCCCTAAATAAAGAATCATATCATCTGCAAAGAGGGATAGCTTGACTTCTTCCCTCCAAATTTATATCCATTTAATTTCTTTTTCTTGCCTAATGGCTCTGGCTAAAACTTACAGTGCTATATTGAATAGCAGTGGTGAGAGTGGACATCCCTGTCTGGTACCAGATCTCAGTGGAAATGCTTCCAACTTTTCCCCATTCAATAGGATGCTGGCCGTGGGTTTTTGATTGTATTGAGGAATGTTCCTTCTATACCCAGTTTGCTTAGAGTTTTCAACATGAAAAGGTGTTATATTTTGTCAAATGCTTTCTCTGCATCTATTCAGATAATCATATGGTTATTCTTCTGCAGTCTGTTAATGTGGTGTATCACATTGATTTGCGAACACTGAACCATCCCTACATACCCATACCAGGGATAAATCCCACTTGGTCTGGGTGGATGTGTTCTGATGTGTTGTTGCATTCTATTGGCCAGAATTTTATTGAGGATTTTTGCATCTATGTTCATCAGGGATCTTGATCTATAATTTTCTTTCAATGCTGCATCTTTTTCAGGTTCAAGAATCTGGCTTCATAGAAAGAACTTGGGAGGATTCCCTCTTTTTCGATTGTTCTGAATAGTTTGAGAAGAATTGCAGTTAGTTCTTCTTTAAATATCTGGTAGAATTCAGCAGTGAATCCATCTGGTACTGGGCTTTTCTTTGTTGGGAGGGCCTTTATTACTGTTTCAATTTCTGTCTCAGTTATGGGTCTGTTTAGGTTTTCTATGTCTTCATGGTTCAATTTAGGTAGATTGCATGTGTCCAGGAATCTATCCATTTCTGACAGATTTCCCTGTTTGTTGGCATATTATTCTTTGTAGTAATTTCTGATGACTCTTTATTTCTATTGTGTATGTTGTTACATCCCTTTTTTCATCTCTGATTTTATTGATTTGGGTCTTCTCTTTACTTTTTTTAGTTAGTTGGGCCAATGGTGTGTCAATTTTATTTTTTCAAAAACCAGCTCTTCGTTTTGCTAATCTTTGTAATTTTTTGATTCAATTATGTTGATTTCTTCTCTGATTTTAATTATTTCTCTTCTCCTACTAGATTTGGGTCTGGTTTGCTGCGGTTTTTCTAGATCCTTGAGATGCATTGAAAGCTCATTTATTTGGTGCCTTTCCAATTTCTTGATGTAGGAACCTATTGCTATAAACTTTCTTGTTAACACTGCTTTTGCTGTATCCCATAAGTTTTGGTATGTTGTGCTGTTATCCTCATTTCCTTCCAGAAAGTTTTTGATTTCTCTTTTGATTTCTTCTATGACCTACTGTTCATTAAGGAGCATGTTGTTCAGTCTCCATGTGTTTGCATATGCTCTAGGGATTCCTGAGTTGCTAATTTCCAGATTTATTCCATGGTGGTCTGAGAATACTCATGGTATGATTTTGATTCTTTTAAATTTGCTGAGACTTGCTTTATGGCCTAGTATGTGGTCAATCCTAGAGAAGGTTCCATGCACTGCTGAGAAGAATGTGTATTCTTTAAGTGTAGGATGGAAAGTTCTGTAGGTATCTGTTAGATCCATTTGGGCTATAGTGTCGATTAAATCTGCTGTTTCCTTGTTGATCTTCTGTCTGGTTGATCTGTCTATTGCTGAAAGTGGAGTATTGAAGTCCCCCAAAATTATTGTATTGTAGTCTAAGTCTCCGTTTAAGTTCCTTAACATATCTTTTAAATAAGCTGGTGCCCTGTAATTAGGTGCATATACATTTATAATAGTTACATCTTCCTGTTGAATTGAACCCTTAATCATTATATAGTGCCCCTCTGTCTCTCTCAACTATTTTTGTGTTACAGTTCATTTTGTCTGATATTAAGATGTCTACACCAGCTCTTTTTTGGTTTCTGTTGGCAGGGATTATCTTTTTCCAACCTTTCACTTTCAGTCTGCATGCATCTTTGTGGGAAAGATGTGTTTCTCGTAAGCAGCAAATAGAGGGGTTTTGTTTTTTAATCCATTCAGCCAGTGTGTGTCTTTTAATTGGAGAGTTCAGGCCATTTACATTCAATGTGACTATTGATAAGTACTGACTTTGCCCTGCCATTTTCCCAAAGATATTTCTAATGTATGCTTTGAACTTCCTGTGATCTCTTACTGAGAGATTTTCTTTGCCTTCTTTTGTATTGTTGACCACGTTTCTGTGTTTCTGTGCATAACACATCTTTAAGCATCTTTTGCAGGGCTGGACGAGTGGCGACAAATTCTTTCAATTTCTTTTTGCTATGAAAGGTCTTTATTTCACCTTCATTCACAAATGACAGCTTTGCAGGATATAATATTCTGGGTTGGCAGTTTTTTTCTCTTAACACCTGGGGTATATCTCACCATTCCCTCATAGCCTGTAGGGTTTCTGATGAGAAGTCTGCTGTGAGTCTAATTGGAGATCCTCTGAGAGTAATCTGGCATTTCTCTCTTGCACATTTTAGAATCCTTTCTTTATGTTTCACTGTGGTGAGTTTGATTACAATGTGTCGTGGTGAGGATCTCTTTTGGTCATGTTTATTGGGGCTTCTATGTGCTTCCTGTACTTGGATGTCTTTTTCCTTCTCCAAACCCGAGAAGTTCTCTGCTAGTATCTCACTAAAAAGGCCTTCTAATCCTTTCTCCCTCTACATGCCTTCAGGAACTCCTAGAACCCGAATGTTGGTTTTTTTTAAATAGTATCCTATAAATTCCCAACAATATTTTTTTAGATTTCTAATTTCTTCTTCTTTTCTTTGGTTTGACTGTATACTTTCCTGTGCTCTGTCTTCTAAGTCTGATATTCTCTCATCTTCTTCACTGATGTGTTTTTAATGCTCTCAAATGTGTTTTTCATTTGTTCTATTTAATTCTTCATTTTATTTTGATTTCTCTTCAATATCTTCATTTCATGTTCTACTAAATTCCTCATTTCATTTTTATTCCTCCTTAAGATTTCATTTTCATGAGAGAGATTTTCTGTCTTGTCCTGTATGGATTTCTGTAGATCATGTATTTGTTTTTGATAACTTCTAAATGTTCTTGTCATAAATTCTTTGAATTCCCTATCTTGCATTTCTTCTATCTCATCATCTTCATAATCTTGTATTGGAGTGTCATATTCATTTGGGAATGTCATGATGTCTTCCTTGTTCTTGTTTCCTTGGTTTTTAGGTTTGTTGTTTGGCATTGTGGAGATATTCTTTGGTTTTTTCTTCTTTTTTTCATTGTATGGCTTTTCTTGTTATACTATGACTCTAGATTAAGTGGACTGTCTGCTTTTGGTGAATTTCTAGAGGCTTGTGGTTGGTGTGGCTGGAAATCTCTGTTCAGTTCTTCAGGTTTAAGGTGACACACCCAGGTTTGGCATGGTAAAATCTTCTCTCTTTTTTTCAAAAGGGAAGTAATTCCACTCAGCTGAGCTCTTCTCCTCAATGGCATCCAGCGCCTGAGCACTAGCCCCAGTGGGTATAATATTCATCAGCACTGTCCCAAGTATCATACAAAGGATCTGTGCAGTCCTCAGTGTAAGCTCAGATTCCCTGCAATGTCTCTCACCAGGTAGCCAAGGTTGCCGGAGTTTATGGCGTCTCCAACAGAGATTATTCACTTCTCAGCCACACCATGAGTTCTCCACACACCCTCAGTTGTTTTTTTTTTTTTTCACAGTCCCAGTTCATAAGCTGCACACATCCACTAGGTCTTAGTTTCCTGTTATTACTTCCCACCAAAGTCAGGTTTTTTTGCTTGGTTGAGGGTAGGCGCAGCCCCGAGCTGGCGCAGCTGTTATGTATGTCCAAGTGGCACCTGCTCTATTTTCTTGCTTGCTTTTCTAAGTTGTGTGGAGAGACAGAATTGTGTCCATACCATCACTTTAATTTTTTTCTCTCCTCTAGTTAGGCTGGTGTACTTTCCCCCATGGGGATTCAAGCCTCATTTTCTCTAGGCTCTTCCTGCTGCTTTTCCACCAGTGTCTCGGGCTACCGCAGATTCGCCCCACCTCTCTTTACAGCGCTGGTGCAGAGCCTCTCAGCAGCTGGGATCCTGAGCCATGGACGCCCATGCCCTCCACATAGGTCCACCAAGTCCCTCTAATTATGGAAGAGCTTCCTCTGCCGTTTTTTTCCCTAATTCTTCCTTGAGACTACACTATCTTCAGTTTTATTAATCTGTCTTCTCCCAGACTATCAGTAAGCTCCCTCCCTATTCCACCATCTTGGCTCCTTCTCCATTAAAATTCTTAACTACTATTAGTATAGAAAGAGTGATAGTAATTAGTTTGTAAAAGTACACACATTTTGCACTTTAGTAAAAAGTTATGATTCTAATGTTGATGCAATAAAAATTGTACCAATAAAGTTACATTAGATGATAAACACCACTTCATTGAAACCACCATCCCACAGAAAATGTTTATATCTAACTTCAAAATCCAGCAAGTGTTTATTAGGCACCAAATTGTGCTATTTGCAATGAAGATAAAGTAAAGGACCCTTGCTATTGAATTGCATGTAAGTTCACTGGCAGAGGGCCAAAAGGTATATATTTAACGAGTAAGTTAGAAAGGAAACAAAGGCAAAGTATAAACTAGTGTATGCTTTATAAAATAGTGTACCAGGTAAACTTAGGTGACATAGGAAGTGAAGAATAAAATAAGAAATAAAGTTAATTCAATAATGCTTCTTAGCTGAAGTAAATCTTATGGAAAAAATAACACTGGATGATAGAGATGGTATAAATTTATATAATCAGGACTTAACATGATTCTTTAATTGAACAAAATTAGAATCTAAAAATTAATGAGAAAGATTTACCTGTGCTTTTTCTGATTCTTCATGAAGAGCTGTGATTTCGGACCTCAAAGTTGCATTTTCTTCATGTTCTTTGTCTAAAGACATCTGCATATTCTATAGGGGGAAAAGAGATTTATTCCCTATTTCAAATGTGTGTATGCATAAAAATACTTTTTCTATAGTTTGGCCAGTACCAGCTGAAGTTCCAATGATATACAAGTATCTTCTGAAGATTTTTTAAGAAAGTCTTAGTATCTTTAATTTTCCAATTTGTCTTTATTTCTAAATTACTTACCAAAATTGTTTCTTTAAAACAATTATGAAGTATCTCTATACACCTATTAGAATGGCCAAAATCCAAAAAAAAAAATAACACCAATTGTTGGCAAGGATGTGCAACAACAGGAATTCTCATCCACTGCTGGTGGAAATGCAAAATGGTGCAGTCACTTTGGAAGACATTTTTGTGATTTATTAGAAAACTGAATATATTCTTTCCATACAATCCAGTAACCATATCCCTTGTTATTTACTCCAAATAGATGAAAACTTAATGTCCACATAAAATCCTGCACACAGATATTTATAGTTGCTATATTCATAATTGCCAAAATTTAGAAGAAGTCAGGATGTCCTTATGTGGATTAGTGGATAAACTGAAGTGGTACATTCAGATTATTTCAAAATTATTTAAAAAAGGAATGAGCTATCAAGTGATGAAAAGACATGGAAGAAAAATATTATTAAGTGAAAGAAGCTAGTCTGAAGAAGCTACATACATGATTCCAACTATATGATATTGGAAAGAGCAAATCTATGGAGGCAACAAAAAGATCAGTGACTGCAATGCACTGGGGGCTAACAGGGCTAGGGGAGGAGAGATGAATAAACAGAACACAGAGGAGTTTTAGGGTAGGGAAACTACTCAGTATGACATGAAAATAGCAGATACAGGTCATTATACATTTGCCCAAATCCATAGAATGTACAACACCAAAACTGATCCCTAAGGTAAACTATGGTGATATTAATGTCAATGTAGATTTATCAGTTTAATAATGTTCCACTTTAGTGGAGGATGCTCATAATGGGGGAGGATATTGTACATATAGGGAAGAGTGTACACAGGACATCTTTGTATCTTCTGTTCAATATTTCTGTGAACCTAAAACCAAATAAAGTTTTTTGTTTGATTGTTTTTGTTTTTTTAAGAATCTATTTATTGGGCTGGCCCTGTGGCTCACTAGGCTAATCCTCCGCCTGTGGCACCAGTACTCCAGGTTCCAGTCCCGGTTGGGGCGCCGGTTCTGCCTCATTGCTCCTCTTTCAGTCCAGCTCTCTGCTGTGGCCCAGGAAGGCAGTGGAGGATGGCCCAAGTGCTTGGGCCCTGTACCCGCATAGGAGACCAGGAGGAAGCACCTGGCTCCTGGCTTCGGATTGGCGCAGCACGCTGGCCATAGCGGCCATTTGGGGGGTGAGCCAACGGAAGGAAGACCTCTCTGTCTCTAACTATGTCAAAAAAAATCTGTTTATTACATCTAGTTTTAGAATGGGATTCCAACTAGTAAGATTTTGTCTATAATCATACCCTAAATTTTTATGTAGTACCCTTGCATCAAGTAAGGGTATTTTCTAAGGTTAAATATTTGTTGTCTTCTATTACATACATATTTTTTCCTATTAGAAGTTAGATCATGTGATTTCAAAGGAAAACATTCAAGGATCTTTTAAAGTTCTAAGTGAAGATAATATTTTCATCAAGAAGTTCCTAGAGGTGGAACAGAAGAAAGCACCTTTCTTTGCTTTGTGAGGGAAAAAAGCTAGTTCTCATTGAGTTGAGAGAAAGGTGATAGAAATCTGAGTTGCTGATTGGGGGTTGGGCTTCTTATCCCAAGGATTCCTTAGTATAGTGGGGCAGGACAAAGTATCAATCCTCTCCTTCAGAGAGAACCACTTATCTACTTTACAGCAGATGCATCTCAAGAAATATAAATATTATATATCAGAGACCGTATTCAGAAACATTATTCCAAATGGAATCTACACATAAAGAGATTTAGACATGTAATAAAATATAAAAGGTTTTTATTCTTTTTAAAAATTATGGGGGCTGGCACTTGGCATACTGGGTAAAGCTGCTGTCTGCAGTGCCAGCATCCCATATGGGCACTGGTTCAAGTCCTGGCTGCTCCACTTCCAATCCAGCTCTCTGCTATGCCCTTGGAAAGCAGTATAAGATGGCTCAAGTCCTTGGGCCCCTGCCCCACATGGGAGACCCAGAAGAAGCTCCTGGCTTCAGATCGGCACAGCTCTGGCTGTTGCAGCCAATTGGCGAGTGAACTAGCAGATGGAAGACCTCTCTCTCTGCCTCCCTTCTCTATGTAACTTTCAAATAAATAAATAAATCTTAAAAAAATAAAAATTGGCCAGCTCAACGGCTCACTAGGTTAATCCTCTGCCTGCAGCGCCAGCACCCCAAGGTTCTAGTCCCAGTTGGGGTGCTGGTTCTGTCCCGGTTGCTTCTCTTCCACTCCAGCTCTCTGCTGTGGCCCGAGAGTGCAGTGGAGGATGGCCCAGGTCCTTGGGCTCTGCACCCGCACGGGAGACCAGGAGGAAGCACCTGGCTCCTGGCTTTGGATCAGCGCAGTGCACGGCCGCAACACGCTGGCCATAGCAGCCACTTGTGGGGGTGAACCAACGGAAAAAGGAAGACCTTTCTCTTCGTCTAACTCTGCCTGTCAAAAAAATACAAATAAAAATAAAAATTATGGTAAAATACACAAGTGTTCTTCAAAACATTCATGGAAAATGTATATTTTAAGAAAACTGTATGGTTTTCTTTTTTTTTTTTTATCACATATCGCATTCTATTCAACCCTTCCCTTAAGAGGCAGGCATTCATGCTTTCTTTTTTTATTTTTAATTTTTATTTTTTTTTCTTTGACATACAGAGTTAGACAGAGAGAGAGAGACAGAGAGAAATGTCTTCCTTCTGTTGGTTCACCCCCCAAATGGTGATTACGGCTGGCAGGCTGCGCTAATGTGAAGGCACGAGCCAGGTGCTTCCTCCTGGTCTCCCATGCGGGTGCAGGGCCCAGGCACTTGGGCCATCCTCCACTGCCTTCCCGGGCCACAGCAGAGAGCTGGACTGGAAGAGGAGCAACCAGGACAGAATCCGGCGCCCCAAC